TCTCTTCATAGAATATGTGCCTAACCACCACCAGGCAGATTTGAACCTGGGACTTCTAGGCTACGTCTAGACTGGCCCCTTCTCCGGAAGAGGCATGCAAAGCAGGCAAGTCAGAATAGGGAAATCCGCGGGGGATTTAAATATCCCCCGCGGGATTTAAATAAACATGGCCGACGCTTTTTTTCCGGCTTGGGGAAAAGCCGGAAAAGAGCGTCTAGACTGGCGCGATCCTCCGGAATAAAGCCCTTTTCCGGAGGATCTCTTATTCCTACTTGCAAGTAGGAGTAAGAGATCCTCCGGAAAAGGGCTTTATTCCGGAGGATCGCGCCAGTCTAGACGCTCTTTTCCGGCTTTTCCCCAAGCCGGAAAAAAAGCGTCGGCCATGTTTATTTAAATCCCGCGGGGGATATTTAAATCCCCCGCGGATTTCCCTATTCTGACTTGCCTGCTTTGCATGCCTCTTCCGGAGAAGGGGCCAGTCTAGACGTAGCCCTAGAGTTTAGTATAAGAGTTTCTACAACTTGAGCTATAAACTTTCAGCTCAGGCTGTAGAACTCCCTTGTTCTTATCTCTCTCTGTAAGTGGTCTAATGGCTACTACATTTGACAGTGACCCACAGTAGGTGTATGGGTTACATATGCAGCAGTGGAAGATTTTCAGTGCAGACCCTTTCACGTGTTTCATCCCCGACCATGAATTATAACCCCTTCCAGGTGCAATAATATTTCATTTTCCTTATTCCTTCAGGCCTCTGTGCTGAAGCTGCCAATGAATGCCAGCTGTGATATGGACTTTGTCCACTAGAAACTATATATCAAGCACACCAACTTGCTTTATGTGGGCCAGAAAGAACTCAGGGTTGGCATTAACTTCTGGTTACTATCAACTTGGACTGTAGTCACGGGCAGTGGGCATGGTAGGCGGGAAAGACACTGCCTTCCCAAACTGCCAGTCTGGCCCCACCCACTCTGCCCCTAGAATACCTATGGTACATAGTGTTGCTGCCCCTGAGTGCCCACCCTCCCTGTGCTCCGGGGTTGGGTGTGCCACCCCCGCCTCCTTGTGATAAGGGGTGGGGCCTGAGCAGGAAGGGCAGGACTGTGGACTTGCCTCCCCCAGATCTACCTTCACCCATTGCCCATGCCTATGGTCAACCTGTACCCTGAAGCTGAATGGCTCCATAGCTTATTTCTGATTCCTGAGTCACCAACTGATTGCTACTTCACTTTCAGATACACTGGAACAAGCTGGGCCCATCAAAGTTAGGTCCAAGATGTATCTGGCAGCAGTGAAATGGTTATAAAGTTGCATATGTAATCCCAATCTAAAATCCCAGTTAACCGCAGTGGATGTATGAGCGCAAGTCAGACTGTTTATAAGAACCATGCTGAATTGACCCCATTGCATTTTCTTAAATTGGTGCACTCCTCTGTACTTAGTTGAGGGGTCAAAACATCTCACACTCTTCCACTGGTGATGCTGTTTCTTTCATTAACAGTTCCATAGCACAGACTACATTCTATTGTGTCCTCTAAACTAGGAATCTCTTTGCTAAACCACAGCAACATTGGAAATTGAACAATGCTCTTTGAGAGCAGACTCCTAGACTCCTAAAGAGTTTTGCCAGCAAATGATGTCAGCCTTTTGGTCTGTGAAGCCATATCTTTATTCGTGGATAAAACTAACACCCTTGATAATAGTCATTCAACTTTTTTTTTCCCTTCATAAGCATCACAGAGCAATAGAATCTATTGACAAGCTAACTGGGAAAAGTGCATTTCTTGGAATCAATATGTGGCATTCTGTGATGAAGACAGATGTAGTTCAATTGGTCAAGATAAACTTAACTTAGCCATGCAATTTTCAATAAACAATGTAAAGTGCAATGATAAAATGATGGGGGAAAAGTGGAGAACTCTAATCCAATGGGATTCTTAAGGCAAGATGAGACTAATTATTTTATTTGCATTTAAATGAACTTGGTT